ATCGAAAGGATACAACTAGGAAATAACATAAAGTTAAATACTTGCTGGAACTGAAGTCGCAGGTTTGTTGAACAAGTAATTTATCTTGTAAAACAGCTATCATGGTTAATTCCTTGTGAATTTGACATGATGGGTCAACTCCCCCGAGGTCACCTTTAATTATAATTTTTCATTGGAAAGTCAGCTACAATCAACAGCACAGGCAGTGTCCTATTTTCACTCATTTAAAAAACGGATTTGTATTGTTGCACAGTTACGTACAGTTCCTCCTTTTCCTTCTCCTTTCCTCCTTCTGGTCTTCTTTCATCCTTTGGTGTTCGAGAGTTTATCAAAAGTCATTTTCGCCTAAGTCTTCGTGACAGTTTCTTCAAATATATCGCAACATTGAGAAAATTCGCCATAGAAGCATAGAAAATTAGGTTTTATTTGGTCATGGTCACTACGACACGAGATTGAACCGCATCCCTATACAATGTCACTATACCCGCCATAATTTCATAGGCTTGCCTCTTCCCTTGTTGTTTACTTGATTTTATGACTTCGATTCTTCGTTTAGTAAATTAATAATTTGATTCTGTCGTTATATTTATTAATGACAAACTATTTAACAAATGACGACTAAATCGTACTCTTAAACGTCACACAATCATCAAACTGGGCTGTGTTATAAAAATCAGGTAACGAATGTCTGTAATAAAACCCTGAACACCTATATTAGAGCCGATTTTGTAAAGTTAATTTCCTAAATCGATCCAACAGTGATCGAACCTGGTATCTCATTTACGCAAGTGATATACGTCAGTCATAAAATGCGTTCGATAAGTGGTGAATCGATAAAGTGTGATAATAGTCGATAAGAAATCGTACTTATAACACGGATAGTGTCTCGTAAATCTGGATCAATAAAATTATAGTATGTTACTAGTACAACTGGGTTTCTGGTTCTATGAATCTTATATCGTAGGTTTTGCGATTCAATTTACATATACTGTAACTGTTAGTATTTTAATTGTTTTTTTTTAAATATTATTACTTGCACTAATAGAAATAAGTGAGACAGATAATAAAAAATAACAACGACATAAAAATTAAAAAAATATTCCATGGTTGTGCGTTTATATTACATACAAATATGTATGTTCATATAAAATAATAACTTCGCGATCCTAACAAGTAATAAAATCAATTCAATTATAACAACCATAAAGATGACTGCCTAATATAAATAATAAAAAATTAAAATATAGTTATCACATAGATGGATTAATTATTAAACAAGAACATAAATGCACAAATTTATATATTTATATTTTTATAATATGCATATATCTTCAAGTTACTCAAGCTAAAAATGAAATATATACTATAATATTAAAAAATCAATCTACTTTATATTGGAAATAATTCCAAAGCAAAAAAGAATAGTCTAAAAAGAGAATAATAAAGTCATTGCGGACTTTATAATTCACAAGAGAAAAGTTCAGATATTGTTAAAAAAGTTCATTTCAGCCGACGAAAGTTTTGCTTAAAGTTCGTATATATCAATGACCCCATTGTAATAGTTAGTACAACACAATTGGCAATTAATATTTCAACATTAGCTGCTTGACTAACACATCATATTACGAGACTATGAATGAGGATGTTATTGTAAGTACATAGCATACTGTTCGCAAAATATGGTTTAGCTCCATGGTGGCCTCACTATTTAATTGTAATTAACCGTCGCTCTATTGTAAGCAATATAATCTTTATTGTACTTGTAAAAAAATACAGCGATTATCTTAATAACTTGTTAGCAAGGGTGGCATTATTTCTGAACGAATTCTCTTCCAGTCAACTCAGTGCAGTGAGAGAAAAAATGATTAAATATATAATTTGCGAACAAGTTTAAATTATTATATTTTGTTCGACAATAATCTCTTTAAATATTTAATACTAAGAATTATAAAGTAATATATGTAATATGCCACTGTTTGTTAACTAAAGCAATGAAAAAAAGATAATAATAAAAATGTTTATCAATATGGTCTAAAAACTAGGTTGCAAAAAATTTATTGAATATATATGCTTCATTTTACATGTTATCGTTTATTCAAAATACATAAATGTAGAAATAAAAACGGGACGATAGGTCAGACGTCTTTTCATGGTTTCGTAGCCAACTGGCTAAAACGAATCATCTATCATTTCATTATCATTCATCATTTTATTGGGTTATCTGTCTGCCTGACCATCTGTCTAGTATTCCTATAGATATATAATACAATAATAGGATGTTGAACATAACAAATATTGTTTTTATTTTGTACTTTTGAGCCTCTGACTATATTTATATAAACATATAAATATAATTTATCCAAATGTGTTCTGTAGATTAGCATGATATGAATATATAAGTAAGCAATTTTTATACATTATATACTTAATAATAATAATCTATTTGCTTGAGATGTGGTATGTACGATTTTAAATGATAAAACACTATTTTTCTAAACACTGTATATTTTGTTGTTGAAATAAAATTCTAAGTGCTCAAGTATTGTGCAGCCGGCGTTATTACACCAGCTGCACAATATTCAAGCTATTTAAACTAATAACATTATTATGTTTATTTGTAATTTTATTATTTTCAATAACATAACAAATATATATTTATATGTGTATGTATATGTAGTATATATTATTTGTTGTAATAAGTAGTCTAATAAACATATGTATTTGATGTTTTATGCATTATACGTAAAAAATATTAATTCACTCTTCCGCCACATACCTCCGTCTATATGTTCTCCTTTAAGCAATGGTTATCTGTAAGAGATTGCCCTAACGATAGGACCGCCTTTTGTACCTTTATATGTGTATTTTAATCTGTACTTCATGCTACTGTATTTCAGTTGAATTGTTTATATGGTATTGTTTATTTTTATGTTTTTGGTGAAATAACGAAATAAATAAATAAAATAAATATTAGAAACGCTTTTGTAGTAAGTTTTCTAAACATGTATTGAACACCTGTCTATCATGAGTTTAATTTTTTTAAGGTAATAGTCCAACATATTTCGCTCTGCTTAAACAGGCTTACACTTTTAATTTAATTAAAAGCGTTAAAAATATAATTTGTATCAATACCGTCGGTTTAAATTCATATACTATTATATTATTGTAAGTAAAGGATTCAAAACTGCTATTTGCTGCGACATGCTAGTGAAATTGCACGAAGTGCGAGCGCAGAATGAATATGTAAATACCTTATACCGGTTGTTTTCTGATGCTGTTTACTAGAAACTAAAGTATATCCGCCCGGAAATATGTCACTAATACAAAATATTATAATAGAAGAAAAGACTTCTCAGTTCTAGACGAATTGTGGAATGTTTGGTGAAGAATCTTCTGTAGTAGAGACTCTACTATAAGAACTATCTATAGTTTTACAGTTTATGTCTACCGGAAGTTTTAATTTTCATTATTTAGAAAATATTTTTATTGGAGGAGATACTCTTTTTAGAATATTGTCAACGTCAAGTCTAATAGAGAAAGGTAGAGTATAGGAACTATACAGCAAAATAAATAAGCACTTCAAATTTCGTTTATATAATTAAGTAATAAAATAAAGTAGGTAGTACATAAGTAAGTAGTTCATATAATTTAGGTATATTGGTTAAAAAAACATTATGGTTTTTAATTTCTTTACAGTATATTATTTGTAAAATATTTAGGGAAATAAAGGGTTCAAGAAATTCCACATAATTCAAATATATTTTTTGTTTAATTAATTAGATAGTTTTAAACATCAATGGCGAATATATCGCTCACTTTCGATTTGCCGATGATATAGAAATCATGGCAGAATCCCTGGAGGACTTGAATACTATTCTCAATCACCTCAATAGTGCTTTTCAATAAGTAGGTCTTGTTATGGACATGGACAATACTAAATTCGTGTCTATGTCCATAATCTATACCGGCCATGATTAAAAATACTATGATCGAAGTTGTCGATGAGTACTGGTGGTGTCGGTGATAACTGGTGGTGTCAGTGATGGCTTATGGAATCAAAATGTGATCCTACACGGTTGTCCGTAAGCAAAAGCTTTATTCAACAACCTATGGAGAGGGCTATACTCGGAGTTTAGTTGCGTGACAGAATTCGAAATGAGGATATCCGCAAAAGAACCAAAGTCACCAACATAGCCCGAAGGATGAGCAAGCTGAAGTGACAAGGGCTGATCACATAACTCGTAAAATCGACAACCGATGGGGAAGAATGGTTCTTGAGTGGTGACCCCGTACGGACAAACGCAGCATAGGACGACTCCCCAACAGATGGAGTGATGACCTCAAATGCATTGCAGGTACTCAGTGGATACAAGTGGCTCAGCAATGGACGGATAACAGTTAAGTCGACGATGATGATGAATAAGATATTGTCATCTTATATTTTTTATAAGTGAAGTGTAAGTTTAAAAAAAAATGATTCATCAGACATATAATATTTCATTATATATATAATTGAAAGATAAAATGCCATCCATAATTAATAATTGTACCTTACAGTTTATATTCTGTGTTGACGTTAGCATAATCAAAAGAACTCTTTCCTAACAGTTGTCTAACGGACGCGTCATGATAGCGCAATGTGTCCCGAATTGTCATATTATCGTTCACATGCCAAAGGTGTTGGATCACTGGTTATTATTTACATTATGATAATAGTATGATGTCATAGAAGGAATTAACACATAGGTACATAATTGAGTTCTAGATATGGGCATGATTGTGTCAACGTGTAAAGACGATGGTACTGAGAAGTAACGCGAGTAGGAGCGTGCTGGAACGCAGAGGACGGGATCGCATCTCTTGCGATACCTGGAAGTTGGGTGGAAGCTGGAAGCGGGCGTGCGGGTGCTGCGGGCGCGGGCGAAGTCAAGTGCAACGCACGCGGCACGCTCTCCGCTGCTCTACCGAACCGTCGGTCAACAGTGCCGAAGCGCGCGCCGTCGGGCCCACGCGCACACGAAATCCACATATTCGCAATATGCTTTCGCACAAACGCAAACACCATTCTCAAACAAAATCCTTTTATAGTCAACTACGACCGCTCTATAAATAAAGCTAACGGGTAGCCTGTGCGTAGCTATCTCGCGAATCTGTGCATTATTTTGGTGTAATGGACTGTTTAGAATTTTGAACTGTATAAGGAGAGCGAACGTCTGGTGATTATTCTTAATAGTTAATCTTGTTTATGATGTATTTCAGGGACATATTTCCATTCGGAATTTCTTAATACAGAGCTTGTTGTGAGCTATGTGGAGACATAGACGTAGAACATAGAATCTAGATATAATAACTCTTCTATTGATCTTCAGTATATTATAAAGTATGTAATTATAACTCAAACATTTGATCGTAGTTTAAATTTGTTCTAAATTATTCATTAAAGATAGAAAAATTTAAATTGTTATATTTTCATGAGTTTCTTAGAGACAAAATTAATCAAGCAAGGTCACTGGCCACTAACATGTTTACGAATATTTATTGTTAAAGTTCTGTGTAAAGTATCGTCCAAATTCTGTATAGAGTAGGTTGTACTCTACTATAAAAATTTAAGGATATATCCTCACTTATTCTGAACTCATATAGCAGATTCGTGTACCCATTAGGTTATAAATATAATCTAAGTTATAGACATTCAAATATCGCTATTACTGAGCTACATTCTTCTCAGAAACGTGAGATGAAATTACAGTTCTACTGTGACCAAATATCTGACAAAACATTCATTTTACAAATGGTTGCCAAAGAACGCATTATACTTCTGTTACTGCAGACGTTCGTAGATTGTTCGTTATTTAATTTAACCTTAGTGCATAATTGTGGTTTCTTGCTACGATGACCAAATTTACTTTAAGCCTTCAATCTTTTAGCGACATCTCCATTTCGTAGTATATGGTTGGTTATAAGACAATTGTTTGTGTTTTGCGATCGTTACATTTATTTGACAAGGTTGTCGTTTACGGCTATCACTCCAAATAATATCCGATAAATTCTAATAAAGATAGTCCACTGATATTTAGTGTTTATGTTTCAATACGTTATCGATAAGCTTCCTTCTTGAGTCACGTATGCCATTGCTCAATGCACAGGTGTAATTCTATAGCAGAATTTTGTTAGTCGATTATGTACATTTACGAATATGCGACGATTTACATAACAATTCGGTAAAGTATAAAATAATATTATGTTTTTCTAAGCAGGCATAGTTCCGTGTTAGTTGAGAAAATACTAAATAGTGTCACGTGCCGACGTTAAGATAAGGAGGCTCTTACGTTGGAACAATGTATGTGTAATACACAGAGTTAATGAATACTAACTGAAGAAAGCTTGACGTCTAGCCAGTGCGAACCAATGAAGTGAAGTGTATCGTGTTGATTAATATTGAAATAATCTGTAGTGATATTTTTTTTTTATTTACAATGTACCGGAACGGACATATACCAAGTAATAATAGCAGTGCATCAACATCTTCAGGAAGCTCAGATTTTCAGGTACAGAATGTTATTTAAAACTTATGGGTATTTATAGTATATAATTATAATTTATATATGGCCTGCAATGATTCTGTTATGTCTATGATACATTGATATAACAGAATTACTGTGCTATTTGACCATACTAGTTATTTATTCACTCTATTCGCCCCTTCTGAGGATTAAGTGTTATGTTAAGTCTCTTTTATCAGTATCTGCACTAGTTGGCTGTCTGAATCTTAAGACGGAAACAACGAAGCAGATTTTTAATCTGCTTTGTCGTTCATCTATTGATCACAATAAGATGTATATTACGTAGTATGTACATTTCATATTGAACTTATCATTGACCTAATATATTATATATAAATTTAAGTAAAAAAATCCATTTGGGGTTTGTAAAACCCTATATTTATTAAAATATTAATTTTATTTTCAATTTTTATTTTTTTTATAGAAGATTTTCTCTTGACATCAAGAGGTGCGAAGTTGACAGTTCAATTCTAAGACCGTCCGAGTATAAAGACAAAAGTGTGGCACCTTAAATATAAACATTTGACGGTCCTTTGGGGCTTGCAACACTTGGGTCAGATGACATTGACATAGGTTAGGTTACCAATCTTAATATTTAGTAGGAGCAACAGTATTTCAGAAGGCATATTAATTTGAATATTTAATACATAGTCGTTCGTTTGTACTAAGTAGGTACCCGTAAATCAGAATTATTGTTTATATTAATTGTGCTTGGGTGCTTATTTAAATATTAAAGTAAATTAATGAATTATTTTTTGCCTGATGTATACAATAAAAATTATGATAATTTTTAAGTTATACTTATTTTGATTATTTATTATATAATTTACAGACATATCGTCTAACTTTAAACTTTTATCACATAAGCTTATACCGTTCTATTCTGTCCAGGATCAATTCTCTTGATGTAAAATAGAATTTTAAAATTTTAGTCGATCTATTAATTAATTATGTATATAAGATATTAGTTGAATCATGAAATATGGTATGGCATTAAGTTATAAATTTATAAAATCATATTTTTTGTTAATGTATGCAATAAACAAATTGTCACTTTTGATTAAATAATAAATAAGTAATTACTACGCATTAAATTCAACTAGGTATCAAAGAGTAAGTTTTAATTTTTGTTCGTGCCTACCACGAATTCATTTAAATATTTCGTGGGCTTGGGGCCCGAGCGCATCCGTTTTAACAATGTCCTGTAGTTGACTGCCAAACCGGTGCTCCATCATACTTACATACCTACCAATCAAATTGCCAATTTGGCATGCAATCACAACTTGTTTTGACTAAATTATCGTTTCCGATACTTTGAATGCGAATTCGAAAAAAATACGATATAAATGAGTATTCGTCGACCTTTCTGTAGTAGATACTTATTTTAAAATTGAAAACTTGTTGAACGAGTGTTAAAAACCTGGAACTAATAAGCTTAAGCTGTACAACTAATTACTTCCTTCTATAGTGTAAAATAAAATTCTATGATATATTAGAGATTGTTATACAATGATTAATCAAGAATTGGTGTCGATACGTGGGACTTTTTCGATGTCTTTGATGGATCAAAAGATCATGCATGTACCTGCCTACCTATTTTATTTCCATGCGTTAATTTCCAACTATTAATTTAACTATATAATAATATATTATATATATAAATATTAATTTATGAAAAACAAACTCATCTTATGAAAATAATAAACTCATCTTTAAATTTTTAATATTAACAATTATAATAAGGCGATATCACTATAGGATTTTAATAAGTATTCCTAGATATAATGAAATTTTATACATAATTAACCTTTTTATCAACTGAAATTACAGTTTATTTTCCCACTGTTTAGGAAAAAAAAAACCGCCAAAATAAATGTACAGTTTGATCTAAATCTATCTAGTTAACCTGTCTACTTATTGTATTTAATTAAAAATTGTTTGCAATTTTTAATTAAACAAACACATTACTGTTAGAAGGAATTTGTTTTTATTTTCATAGCAATAAGTAGGTAAGTTACATTTAAGCAGGCTTATAACAATATTTAAAGTGGTACCTACATATCAAATACAATCCTCAAACGAAGAATTTTCACCCTTACCGCAGTAAACTGCTGTCAATCCTTGCACCTCAAATTTCCGTTTAAATTTTCCACAGGCTGTGTGACTTTGTGAATTGTGCTAGATGCGGGTACAACTTCTGGCAACAGTCGATATTTTAAAATGTCATCCAATTTCCTGAGCTGTCGTCTCGTAAAAAGATTAACTGCCTACCACTCAGCTAACGTTCTTTCCGATAGAATATGTTGACTAACAAAGACCAATTTTATGGCGGTCGAAAAGAAAAAACCAGAGTTGTTTTAAAAATTATAGTTTGGGACAAACACTAAAAATTCAACAATATTAAAATATATAGGTATAAAAATCCAATTACATGAAAAAACCTTTTCATTTTAAGTATTTAGCTTTTTCCGGTTTCACTTTATTGAATTATATCAGTCTATTTGTCCTTTCAATCTCAGTGTGATAACAAGTGTGGATTACTAAATGCTTAAAGAGCAAGATAATGAATATAATATATAATTTTAATAAAATATTGTAAGGTATGACTCTGCAAAAAGATATTGATTAGTGATATCTATACTTCATAATTTGCATGTTATATGATTCGTTGTATCTTATTGCATTCCAAAAGATTATTAAAATGTGAAAGTTTATAAAGACGTTCCTATAATTTATAAAGATATTACTCATGTTTCAATGGTTGAATGATATTTGGTACACTTTATTTATACGGGGATAGTCTCGATTTCTCTCTCAAAGAGGGTAGAGTTTGTTGGATCTATTATTTTCGTGGTAGCAAGTAAATGTATAGGTACATTACCAGTATAATAATGGCTTTGTCGCACAGATTACTTCGAAAGTGTAACCAAAGTTAGTTCGATTTGATTGAGTAACAATTAAATATCTTTACAAACTTTCTTATTTAAAATATTAGGAGGATTTAAATTAATATTATTGTTGTTGAAAATTGTAAATGGAATAGTCACTACCGTTTATCTATCAAATATTACTGTTTATTATGCCTGTTTATCTGAGATTATATAATTATATTATACGTATACATGCATGTAACTTATTTGCTTATCAATCTTATATTTTATTCATGCCTGAAGTGTGTATCCGGTACTGAGCAAGGTCGAGTCGTTTACTATTGTTATTTTTTCAGTCCTGCCTTTCTATCGGTGTTTACGAATAGGTAAGGTCAAAAATATGGTATAAATATATGTACACACTTATTACTATATGACATTTAATAAAATAACAAGTGTGTGTTCAGTGTTTATCAATTGACAGTATTAAGTTTGGTTTTATCTGAGGGAAATTTTGTACAAAAGTCGTTTGCTTGGGCACCTCTGTCTCATTCGTGTTTCTACCGTAAAGCAGTTGAGGTTGCACGGCTGTGTTTCAGTTGAAAGGGTGCGATACGGCAGTGAATTTACAGGGTACAGAGGAATAACACCTGAACCCTCAGGAATGGCAACGCATGAGGGGTATCATGGGCGAAACAGTATAGTCTGTTATGTCCATGGTACTGCTCATGTCTATAGGCGACGGTTACCACTTTCCATTAGATGTGCCGTCAGCTTATTTGACATTCTAAGTTACATAAAAAAAAAACCCTACTACTCATATCCATAAAAAACTTGGCCTAAAGAGGCCAAGTCCTTCCGGAGTAGACAGAGATAACTTTTTCTTTATCTACATCCATACGTTTTTGTATTATATAATATATATTTTATGTTTTATGATAATACCCGCCTAATAACAATTTCAAAGTGTATGATGTTTGGAGTTTTGTAGCTTAATTATGCTAAAACTGCAAATGGATTTTAATTTAATTTTAATTTTAGAACATAGCTAGATGGACAAATACATGAAATACTTATTATCCTTATTCACGCGCTTTAAACCGCAAGTAGTATCTGTATACTGTGGTTTGATAGACTAAGACACAAAAAAATACATCCAAATATGGTAAGCAATTCATATCCATACAAGATAAATCCGTATCATTCGAGAGTCGTATTTATTTATATCCTCCGCAATATTTCACCAGCGTCTGTGGTATTCGGTGATTGTTTTAGTTTATTTGCTTATGCAAATACAGTTCTACACAACGCATGCATATCTGAAGCCTATATATAACCTACTTGTACTTAGGTAGTTATAGTTCGGGAATAAACTTAATGAATTTGTTTATATAAGTTAGATTTTGTTTTTTTTTTTTTTTTTTTTTTGAAGGCGGGTAAAATAATAATTTGTACACTATTAAACGAGCAATCCTACATATATTATTATTTACATATATAAATTTGAAATTGTTTAGATATTCAGATGTTTGTTATTCAATTACGTTTGTTAATGAGTACCTAACAAACTGCTAAACGGATTTGAATGAAATTTAGTGCACGGGTATATCCTAACTCATCAAATAAGACAATTTACATACAGATTGCGGACAAAACCGCGGGAAACAGCTAGTGTTTGTATATGTTTATAAATTTTTAACAAAAGGGCTTACTTTACAATCCAAATCAAGCCAAATTGTACATAAAATTGGAAAAAAAAAACAACTTTTCCCAAGATATATTATTAGTAAGTTGAAGTGTAAAATGCAATTAACTCCTATGTATATTATACCAATTCCACGCAGCTGAAGTAAAAATTAAATGTAATTATTGCATTTTTAGGACCATTATAGACTTTTAGCACTTATAGGAAGTTACTTTCTCTAAGTTATCAATTATGTAATAGCTTATTATGTCCTTTCTCTACGCCTCATTATTTCGTGAACACATGTTAATCGACGTTAAAGTACTTACTCCTATCTAAATTATAACGTAAGCAGTTATTCGCGTGTGGATTATAGATGCAATTGACGTAATGCTTTCATAATGTTTTTAGTGCACTACAATCCTGTTATT